TTGTACTCTTGTAGTACCTAAGTGTACTTAGGTACTACAAGTACAACTTCAAATGAAATATATAATAAGAAAATGTATTTTCCTTTGAAGGTGTGCAATGACTGATATGATATTTGTAATAAGTGGATAGAATTTATGTCTACATAGTAGTTTTGGCGACACACAGTAACTAGTTTGACACCCTCGGGTTAGTAAATAATAGATTTCTGTACCGCCACCTTAATTTAGCATTGTTGACACGGGACAAAGCAAACTAATAAATGCTGCCATGCTTCATGTACAGTCCTGCCCCGGCAATGTAGATTTTTGTAACATAATATAAAAGGTACTTTGATGGTAAATTGTACTTTGTGATTCAGCGTTGAAGGGTTTCATATTTTTGATATTGAATAATAGATAGATAAAACGTTTATTTGGATCTACAGACACACATACATAACAGAAAAATATGTAATAGAAAGAAAAAAAAACAGCAGAGTCGCAGCACTGCCGAACACCCAGTTATGTAAGTGTGCTGTAGCAATGCAAAAAGGCCACAGCTCCGCGTCGGTGATTACTCAGGAGCAAACAGCTGATTTACAGCTATAACCTAGAGATTTCCGCAGATATAATAACGAGCTAGCTGACACCATTTTCATGTTGTATATATTAAACAAATAATAATTTCGAAACTAAATAAATACGGAAGATAATATATTCATGTGTTCTACACGTGCGCCCTGTGGTGTTGCTGGGGCTGCCCCGATTCTGCAGCGCGTCAGGCATGTTTGCGCAGGCGATATAGATGATGTTCATGCTATCATGCGAAAGAAAACGGCCTCGCTGCTCTGCAGACTACGGGATAGATATAAGATTCTCCACAATAGACCTGTATGCGTTATTTAAAGTGCACTCGCAAAGGAAATTGTTTGTCTCCACTCTACTCACGAGTACCAATATGATCCATACATATTCAGGAATAAACAAAGAACTGACAGAGTATGTAAAACTACGATAGGCATAGAATTGTTTTATTAGAACATCATATCTACTTCTTTTGATTTTCACTTTATAAGTAAATAAATAAAATGATATGTATCCTTCACTTCTTCACAGTTTCAATTATAATGACACAACACAATTACAATCACACGCACAAGCACGCACGCACTCACGCACGCACGCACGCAAGCATGCACGTACACACAAAGGCACAAACACACACAACACACAAAGGCACAAACACACACTCACACACAGACACTCAGTCAAAACACAATTACACGAAACAATTGTTAATGTATAATTTTGTTCATTATTTTGATACATAACTTGTTTTGTTAGTAATTAATTACACATCAGTTGGACTATCTAGTTACACTAGTTATCCGGAGTTGGGAGTTATCTATAATTAATAGCTGCAACATAAACTTTATCGACCCATTGTAGTTATTATCGAATAAATACATATTATATAAATGTTGTCATTGTTTCCAATAAAAATTTGTATGTTATAATTTTATTTACTCGTAGAAAAAGTATTGTATGCAATGATTACAGAGTTAGGTCTTAAAATCTCGTACTCTGTTAGTTAAGCCAGTCGGCAAACGGTACTCGACTTAGGAACCCTCATTATGCAACGATTGCATAAAATATTATTGTGAACATAAAATACTTGTTCACATATCTGCTGTTATGATGAATGATCTTTTTCATCTGAACAAAACTATGCACATATATTTTTTTCTTTGTACCTACGTAGAGATTCAATAAATTATCTCATTAAAGTTATTTATACTACATGAAAGACCAGTGCGTAATATACCCACGCATTAGCTAATTTACGATGTTTCTTAATTTTAACATTATTTATTTACGTAAATTTATGTATATTGACATGACATTCCATGATAATAATACATAGGGCGACTATAAGTTTCCGGAACTGGCCACTTACATAAACAATATTTAAAAAGTAATTACATCATTCGAAAATAGAACTCTTTGGCTGTTGAATACAGTTTGTTTCATCTGACTGTCACTTGTTTTTACATTTTGGCGTCATTTTAGAAATTGGTTGTAGACATCACCGTGCATATAACTCGTGACTATTTTCGTAGTATGATTTTTTACGACTTTAAGTGTAATTTAACAGCTCAGTGGAGCTTCGCTCGGCTTCAAACTGCTTTTGGCGATGAAGCACCATGCAAGACGACTATTTATAGCTGGTTTGCAGAATTCAAACGCGGTCGTGTGAATCTCAGTGACGAATTTCGTGATGGTCGCCCATCCACTGCTGTGAACAACAAAAACATCGATGCTGTGCGCCGTGTGATCAAAACAGACAGGCATGTAACATACCATGAGATTCGGGCATCTTTAGGCATAGACATGAGTCAAATACAATCAATACTGTACACACATTTGGGTGTGAAAAAGCTGTGTTTTCGGTGGACCCCACACAATTTGACTGAGGCTCAAAAAACGGATCGCGTCACGTGGTGCAATGCCATGCTTACCAGATTCAACGAAGGGGCGTCAAATTTAGTATCGGACATAGTAACTGGTAACGAAATATAGATTTATAGTTAGATCCCAAAACAAAGCAGCAATCGAGCGTATGGGTCTTTCGAGATGAGCCGAAATCAACCAAAGTGGCGCGCGTGCAAAGTGTCTCTAAGCGGATGACTGCTTACTTTTTTAATAAAACTCGACACATGGCTACTGTTGCTTTGGAGAATCGTTTTACCATGAATAGTGAATGGTACACGACCATTTGTGTGCCGGAAGTTATTGACAAACTCCGTAAAAATAACCGTAAACGCCGTATCATTTTGCACCACGAAAATGCCAGTTCTCACACAGCCACACAGACAAATGAGTGAACAACGTTGATCTTATGAGCCATCCCGCGTACAGTCCCGACCTGGCACCTTGTGACTTTTATTTATTTCCAAAAATTAAGAATCAGTTACGCGGTCAACGATTTTCATTACCTGAAGAGGCTGTCGAAGAGTATGAAAAATATGTTTCAGAGATTGTCACGGAGGAGTGGCATAAATGTTTTCAAAAGTGGTTCAAGTACAAGTTGGTACAAGTGCATTAACGCCAACGGAGAATGTTCTGAGAACCAATAAATTCATTTCTGACCATTTATAGTATTGTTTTCTTATTCATTCCGGAAACTTATAGTGCGCCTCACGTAGTATACTGGACATGCTTAGCAACAATTAATTTACTACATAGTTTTTATGAACTTGTATTGCAAAACATAGACAAAACGCTCATAATACGTTTAGTTATCTATAAATAGAACACATGTAGTTTACGACATTTCAAAATAAATAATTCTACTTTGGCATTAAGACATTTGGCAGGAAATCAAAGACTCTTTATAAAGTATTTTTAGAAAAAACTAAACTGTTTTTCCACATCGTATCTTGATTCGTATTCGTAGATAAAATAACTCTCTTTCTATTGTTTACTTTTTTACTTAAGTGAATAAATCATGAAGAATTCTTCTAATAGGATAAGATGGCTTGAACTTTGAAATAAATGTATTATGTTCATTAAAGGAACGCTCAGAACCGAGTATATTGTACCGAGTATATCCAGGAAAGGTTAATATAATTTTGCTAAGAGCAAGTACAACGAGCTTATAATATTGCCTTGATTTATGGTCCTGCTGTGGTCATGCTTAACACATACCTACAACATAAAATGTACACACTGGTTTATATCCAGAAACTAGTCTAACCATAAAGACATTATATATAAACATATGTAGATAAATCATATTCACATTGACGCTTCTTAATGAACCTTCAGAATGAATGAAAATTTGTAGAAGACGATTTTAATTGTATTATTTTTTCTTCTCGAAATTATTAATATAATATTGTAACAACCACAACAACTTTAACACGCCATTAGTTCCATCGCACCACCGCTAGTTGTCATTAGTCGTACTCTGAAACGCGCTATCGTTTTGTTAACTCCAATAGTATAAGTCATCACATATGTTTTGTGCTGTGGAAGTTTATCATAAATGCTTACTACCACTATAGCATTGATATGGCACTGGACGGCACTCGAGTTGTTGAGACGTTTCGGTCCTATTACTGCCATTTAAGGTTTTGGTACTGGACTGTGCCAAGTGAGACGTACTGTTGAGTCCATAACCCTGTAAACTTACACTTTTTGATAATATAATATACACCTTTTAAGTCATCAAGTCTGCATCTAATTCGTCGTTCTACGTACCCCTTTCGCTAACCAGCGCTACAATATCAAATTAATAATAATAATTATATTTAATAATAATACATTAATTTAATAAAATATTTCCTAAAAAGTTATACCTTTATACAAAAATATTGTCTAGTTTTGATTATACTATTAAAAAAGTATATTTTTTCCTGAATTTAGAATAATTCTATAGTAATATATTTTTCTAAAAGCCACTTTGATAATGTATTATTATATCAGCACTATTATGTCAAACCTTACAATTACAATAGAATCTGTCTTCTGTTATAAGTACAAAATAAATTTATTCGTTTTTTATAGAATAAGCTTATTTTATATGTCTTATTTTGTATGTCGTTCTTGATATTACCACGTATTGGTTTGACTCGGTAGAGTAACCAAAACCGTTCGTAATTGCCATTGTAAATAAGGAATTATGTGGATTTTTCCGATTTTACAATCATATAAAATAATATCTTGTGACTTGTATATATTATATATTGTGTACACATCTTTATCAAAAAATTTTACAAAAAATAACTTTGTTAAAATCTTAAAAGTAATATCGTGTAGTTCGTAAGATTCCCTATCTGCGGATTGGTATTGTTTTGGACGCCAGACAGGCACCTGTCGGAGATGTACAAAGTAAAGTGATCCCAAAGGATCTAGCAGGAACATCAAAAATGCTTCCATGATCCAGTGACCCATCCATCCATCAACTCATTTGAATCGGTTTGTCATGGCGAAAATTCTTCAGTGCGAATTGAGACGCCGGTAGCGCCACACGCCTTCACTCACCGCGCTGCGTCGTGACGCGAAGCCGACGGCTTACCATTCATTATTGTACCCTAGTGCACGCACCAATTCTGATCTCTAGTCTCGTGTTTCATAGTTCGTTGCAATGGCAACCAACACAATAGCAGATTGGTAAGCCAATTTTAAATCCACAATACTTAGTTTTCTTTAGAAAACTCGCAATTATTGAAACTTTTGTCTTTTTGCCAATTTATTTCTTGTGCCAAATTCATTTATTTTTCTTATATAACTTTACAGTTTTATTTTCAAATTAATTTTGTCCAATTCTGCATCTTCGTCATTTAAATATAGATGCATACTTGTTTTCTTATGTAAAAATTTGACGCACTGTCTTTTTACATAAGAAAGCAAATATACTTCTTAAGTAAATAATGGAATATATTGTTGTCTACGAACGAATGGTAAATGGAAATGCATTATATCAGTGAATACCTCAGCGCGTGTAAACAATAACATAATTTTACTTTCATTTGCTTTTTGGTAATGTATATTCAGTGTTTTCGTGAACAATTTCATTAAAACAGACCCAGCAATGTGACGTGTATGGGATGATACAGAAATTAATTGATAATTTACATGATATTTGAAAGTTTTGATCGATTTTAAATACAATTACGAGTTATGCGATTAACGAGTGTACAAATGTACATAGGATTTGCCCCTCGACCTTAGGAATCGACACTAACTTTTATTTTTAATGCTGATTTAATGGATTGTAACGATTCTCGATCCTGGTGTATGAATAATATACTATATTGCTGCGCCCTAGAACTAGGTCAATCTGAACGCGCCATTAGTAGCCAGCATAGAATCCTAGCGTAGGTGTTTGGGCACGCAGAACAAGATGTAAATACCGCAAGAACAGGACAGGTTGGAACCAAAGGAAATGAAGCTATTTTTTCGGGTTTAAATCGCATATATTTGTTTTTTCAAACAAACCAACGTTTTCAGTCCTTTACAAGTTCCATGGTCACAGCTTATTGAAACGTTGGGCCCGAAACGTTAATTTGTTTGAGAAAAGAAATATACGTGATTCTGGCTCAAATCAGCCAGGGCAAAAACAATAAATAAATAAATAGTTTATTTTCTCCCATCATGTAATCTAGGTATAATAACAATCAATAGGCAAAAGGTTGGGAGATAGGAGCTTAAACTAGCTCAGTAATGTTCATGTAGACAAAATTTTCAAATGGTTCCAACATATAAAATGAAACTATTTTTTCATCTTTTTCGGATACAAATTGCGTATATTTGTTTTTTTTCAAGTCAAACCAACCTTTCAGGACTTTTCAGGTCCCATGGGCATAGCAGTCAGCCGTGATCATGGACCCTGTTAAAAAAAGGGTTCGAAACGTTGGAAAAGGTACGAATCGTCGCTTTGTTTGAAAAAAAAACAAAAACAAAAATATAGCATATAATTCTACCCTAATTTAATGCAAACAGACAAGAGACAGAGACGAGTTTTAAAATGAAAAAAAAAACTCGACGACCAGACTAATAACATAGAGTTCTAAGTTAATAAGCCCGTTTATAATAAAATGGCATTGTATTTACTACTGCTTGTATTTACTTGTATAGACTTGGTGAAAAAACGAGGGTTAATCATCCTTGCCATACACGTACATGCGTACAAACACGCTTGGACTCACAAACACACATGCACATACGCATTGCGCATACTTCCGCACATACACATGGCCACATAGACCTAAAGAATTACATCCGTAGCAAGTTTATACAATCTGTAAAACCAAAACTAGATTAAAAGCAGGGTATTACTTGAATCATGATTCTATGGACATAGTTCAACCGAGGTACCATTTCGGAGACTATGAAATGGAATTGCACGATTCTTTCCATCACCGGGGTCGCGGGTGCCATGGACACACACATATACAACCACAAATTACACCCTACTCACGAGAGAAATAAATGTAGGCCATACAAATATTTCTTTCGGCCCGGGAAACGTACCCGGGACCTCTGCGTGGCAGACTAGCATGGTCACCGTAAGCGTATGTACTAAAATGCTCATTTATTTTTTATTAAAAATATTTGAACTATCATCCGTATCCACCACCATCTTTGGCCCACTATATAACTTAACAGGCTGTTGGATTGAATGTTGTATGTTACTCCGTATGTAGTTTGAGTGACAATAAAATATTATTAGGCTGATAAAATTGTAGAGTCAGAAGGTTAAGAATTGCATGTTTTGGTTTTAATTAATTATGTTTGGAAACTGTATTACTAATACATTTAAGTGTCTGGTAAAAATAACACTACCTACATTGAACTTGTTCTACGAATTTTCTTTCAAATTTCTCTTAATAATATTTTAGCAATTTTTCTTGCAGCCTTGAATGAAATCTACACCCACCTTTTGGGGCAGCGAAGTGAAATTACTTTCTTTTGATACTAATAAAGTTTATTAAATGGGCACTTAATTGACTGTCTGCGATGAATTCAATTAATTAATGCCGTTTTATAGTTTTCTTGAAAGCAATACTTTGTGACATTTTATCGATAAAACATTACCATACTAACATAATATTATATTTAATACTTTTTTTATTTTATAATATAAAGTGACGGGACGAACAAGTTATGCGCCTGATGGTAATTTACACGCCCGTCCATAACAGTTGCAGTACCACTCAGAGCTTTAAGTCACAAAGATCTCAGGGGCACTGCCACTGCGCCCGTCACCCTGAGACATAAGTTGACATGACATTGTCCCATGTGCTTGTTTGTTGCCTACATAGTATTAAAAAAAAACACCTGGCGGTAATAAAAAGATGATGGTTTTGTTCAGTCTCTCTCTACTCGAAACATATTTAGCTTCACTATTTAAACAAAGCAAACGGAATACTAATCAGTAGTGGGTTAATAGTGATTAGGCATTTTAAACGTTTCGTTTTATAAAGATGACTGAAGACCATGTGAAGCAATGTAAAATGTTAAGTACCAAAATTTCTTTTGTATTATTATTAAGTTTTATTGAATATCGCGATGTTTTACGATCATGATATTCAATTATTTCTTTGTGAAATTACTACACTAGTTTGTAAAAATTTTATAGGTATTAAACGTGTACATTATACTATACAATTAATATACAATTAAAAAAAAAATTACTTGAATCTATACGACAAAGGTTTTTAAATCATTTTATGACATTTATTAACTAAAATCAAGATTGAAACACAGAGAAAAATTCATTCGATCCGGCTGGATTCGAAGTAGCGTCTTCACCATACCGTGGTTGTCGCTCTCCAGAGCTACGGAACGAACCAGCAGGTCTTACGAATTTATCTACATACTTGTTGCAGATCTTTTTAATGGATTTTGCACCATCTGTGGAAATCTATGAGAGTTTGTTTTTGTTATCAATTTGTTACTATTTCTTTTTACAACTTATTGACTAATTGAATGTACTAATACAGTAACCGAATTTTTAAACGATTATCCCGAACTTCTTTGTCTAATTATTGACATTTGTATATTTATTCTAACATTACTCAAATAATCTCAGTACAGAATATTAAAAAAACCGACCTCAAAAGTGCGTGGAATTTATTTTCCAAGTTTTATTGAAATCGGTTACCGGGAAGTGTGCGAAACCGGATTCATCCCCTAGTTTGCCACCTTTAGAAGTCGAGTAGTTCTTCAAATTTAAATGGGACCACTACTGAGGTATCCTCTTTCCAATTAAATGGGTTCACAAATGCCGTGTTATCGTGTGTACATACAATAAAAAAAATACAGTCGAATTAAGAACCTCCTCCTTTTTTGCAATCGGTTAATTATTATTATTATTTTGACATCTAATTACATTATCATTGAAATTGACCAAAATAACTATCTCCGCGTTTAAATTAATTAAATCCATGTGTGCACGCCTGTATGATATAGCGCGTGGGAGTAAATGTATAATATACCGGATCGAATGCTTTTTCTTTGTGTTAAATCTTTATTTTAACCAGTGGAGTAAGTTCACAAAAAAAAAAATTGAATATCATGGTAGTACAATATCGTGATATCCAACAAACTTAATAATATTGTATAATATGTGAGCAATAATAATATGTTTATATGCATAATCTGCAATATTCTATCGTCGTTATAAGAAGCGTATGTTTTCCTTGAATTCAGCCACGATTCATTTGAAAAACTTTTCTGCCTTCTGGAACAGCTGAATGGAGGTTTAATAATACTTGTTCTAAGAGTAAAATGATTGACGTTTTGCTCACCAAGTCCTGGAGAAAAGCTATAACAATCACAAACACATTAGCTATGCTTAGACAAATGACAAAGGTATTCAAATAATAATTTGGTGAGTCTCTCTAGTGGACGCTATTTATTAACATAATGGTTTCACGAATCCTTTGTTCATTTTTCGAATATAAAAAATATCAACAAATAACCATTTTTACTAAACACAATTTCTTTCTTTTGTATTGGTTGTGCGAAATAATTTGGTTGGCTTCCTTCAGCTAACAAATATTTGACCTTAGAACTTAAATCCAAACTAATGGTACCATGATTTCGTTTAACTAAGGTAAGCGATTCTTTTATGGGGAACTGTATACTATGTTTTTACAATAAGATTCCGGAGACTATATTAAGATTATCATTTCCTAAGTTTAAAACTTAAATTAAAAGTAATTTAATTGAAAAGTCATATTACAAAATTGAAGAGAATGTGTTAGTTATAGATGTATGGAAAGACAACATGAGTCTAGATTCCACACAATTATGATACAAAGTGTATTCCATAGCATTTAAGTTTATTTGAAAAGGGATTCTCAGGGAGGTCAGCGTAGTGAGCGACCGGTAGCTTAAAAGATGACGTTTTCAAGTGTAAAAATTTTACTTATGAAAAAAATGATTATTTGACATTTACTTTGACTTTGACTTTGAAAATAGTAGAAATGATTTTTATTTTCCCAAAAATAACAAAAAGATAATACAATAGCGTGGTTCCGCCGCGGAACCGTCGCGGAATCCGCAACGGAAATCACCGTATTATCCGCGTTATACAAATTACTTGTCTGCTAAATTTACTTATTCATATTTTTCTTTTTACGTCCAATGGATTTTGCAAATATATTTGAAACAAAAAGTTGTAAAACAACTGGCCGCGGATGTTCATAACGATTTTGAATTTCGAAGTAATACTACATGTGTGACTCAATGCCAGAAAGCCAAATATCTGCACCGGCGACATAGTCGTTGATTGGATGGCTGAGCAAAGAATAATCAATCGTAACCCATATCTTTAAAATTTTTTGGTTTATTTAATTAGTGATTATAATACGGAGTCAATGTTGCTATAACCACGGAATTATAATTTTACATATTAAGTAATACGTTGACGACGACAAGGATGAATGACTTGTTATCTTTTTAAGTTGATGACTTTATTGCCCTAAGACCCAGCAAACTACAATGGGAACAGCGCTAAACACTCTCCAATGTACATTATATTAAAATGTACTAAGTATTTTTTTTACACGCTTCAGACCCAAGCAAGCATGGCCTCAGTTTCATATGAAAAACGTTTTTTTTTTTCTAGATTGCCCTGTGATAATATAGAAGACAGAGCTCCAAATTTGAATGCTATGTTTTCATAATAATATACCTACACTGGGCGTTTATATAGGAATAATTATTGAATGGGTCTGAATCATTTCTCATACATACATTTTGAAGTATGTAGTGCCTTAGGAGGTTATATTATATTATTATATAGGTTGTAGTTATATGTTATATATTGTATGTATATTTATGTGTGTAAATCATGCATTATAATTATTTCTAAACTTTGATTCTATCTGTTTTTAATCTTAACTTGCCATGTTATGCACCGGCTGTTAATTATTATGAACCCAGTTGACAGGCAGAGAATGCAATGGCGTTAAGTCCGCCACTTATATAGTTTTGTGTGCAACAATGTTTAAATAAAAAGTAACTTTACAGTCAATGAATAGAATCGTTTATTTCATGTTATCAATGTCACAATATTGCAATTGGACATACAATGTCAAGGGATAACTATGATCATCAGTAACAAAATTATAATAATAATAATGAATATAAAATAAAGTAGTATAACTACTGCTTGTCGAATAAAAAAAATAATTAAAATTGTTTCAAAAGAAACTCATCGACACTGTACAATTCAATATCCAATAAAAGGTTTTTTAGTCGGGTACAAAACGTTTCATCGTTTCTAACACTTTTCAGGTCTGTGGGTAGATGTTCGTAGAATCGGGGACCTATTACCCGCGGATTTCAAGTTGCAAGTTCGGTACGGTGGGCAACGGATTTTAGTGTTCCCGCGTTTCGTAACCCTCGGCC